CATGTCGAAAACACCGTTATAGTGTCAAGTCTGGCAAGATGAGAGCATGGATATCGAAGTGCAGTTTGACCAATTTGGTGTGATAAAGTATTGAACTGATAACATCAAAGAGTATCCTGGGAAAACAAAAACTGCCAAATTTGAATATTTACATTTTTCCTCGACACTTTCCAACCATAATCTTTCTCTCAATAATTATTTTGAGAGATCTCCAACATCATGACTTTTTTATAATAGAAACGAATTCCAACACAAGCACCGCTATCGTAACATTGCTTTGTCTGTCATACTCCACTTCGATCAGGATGATCTACGCGGTAGTGCACTGCATGCTTGCACGCACCGGGGCTCGATCCGCATACATGCTCGACGCCTCAGCGTGCGGAAATACATAGCCTATCTCAATCAAAACTTACTTCGGTTGATACTGACAAATTCTTCGTCGCTTTTTGAATATAAACTTATAAAGCTAGACTCAGAAGACCATGCAGTGTACATAGTGATCATTTTCAGGTTTCATCATATATTTCCTATACGGTGTACGAAACAGCAAAGAAGGCAGGAAAAAGCGCATGGTTACACCGTCGCAACTTTCCACAATAAACAAAGACGGCGAGAAGAACTAAGATTCAAGTGATCTCAGAATAAGTAAAGCTTATAAAAGTAATTAAGATTGTACTCATTGAAACAGTCAAATCTTACTCAGAATTTAATCAATCAGAAAGCGATCACCTACATTTTTACTATATCAGCTGTTCAGACTAAGATGTCTTGAAAGTGGTCAGCACTTTAATAAAATGATATGGAATGAATAAAATAACAAATAACAACAAAATCTTAGAAAACTGTAAAAAGTTAACAAATAGACACTGTACAGTATATGCATAATCGGTGAAGAATAGAGGTAAGGATACATGAAATACCCGGCTTTTTAGGATTATTCTACTACATACTAAATATCTTTGCTATCCATGTAACTCCAGCGCCGATTTCCCCCGCTGCTTCGGCATCTTCTTATTTGTGGGATCCTCCAACTCACGACCTTTATAGTAATGAGGAGCGACTTCCAACAACCAAGAGCTTTCTATTTGACTAATCTAAACATTACATGAGTAGCTTAGCCAGACATATTAACACTGATAATCAGCGGATTCAAACCTCTCTCATAAATTCCTTGCTGGTAAATACAAGTTCATAGTAAACCACCCATCGCGGCAATTCTTCAAATAAACATGAGTTTGGGTGCACTTGTACGGTGTGTTTGTGCTTGACAGTCTTGTAGTGGCCTGACACAATGAGACAAATGGGTGGGATAACGAGTTAATGCTGACCCTGATTCTTTTAATGAAAATGGGAAAAATGTGCTGGGTTTTCTTTGCCCGATAATTTTGAAAAAGATTAAAAGGTTACCAGAATTATCCAGTTTTGAGCAGTTATAAAAGTATCCAGCAGTAATGGCTTTTCGGATAGCAACTGTGCATGTATTCGACTTCTAAGTAATTTAATATGTAATAGATAATCATAGTCCAATCAAAACACCATAAGGAGCAAAGACTGAACGTACAGGTTCAATCTCGACTCTCTCCAATAGCCCCTCCAATTGGTCACGTATATCTCTTGCTTTCTTCATCGTACGATGTTGTACAAAGTTTTCCATACACCTGAAAGAACAACACTCAACTACATATGGGCAACAAAAATGCAGTAATTATAAAAAGCCTGAAGAAAGTTTAATACTTCGATAAACATCCTGCAATTTCTTTCGAAACCAGCGATTAATAAACTTTTAGGTCTAAATTAGCTCATTACATGTACGGAACACAGTGAGATCCTAATAGCTGCTGCTCCTAACTTCATGAACTAAGACGTGTGCTATTTTGATAACAGAAAAATGCAGTGGTTACTTCTACTAATAAAGAAGTACAATCCGATTTTGCAGAAAAATTCTGTGTACACCTTCTTCTCCCAGCAATAATAAGTCGGGAGGGATAAAATTGAGTACTGACACAAAAAGATGTCCCAAGAGAAAAAAATTGGTTCTGTTTTCCTATACTGCGAAGTAAAACAGCTGAAACAGAAAATGCAGCCCTGACCATTGCTGTGAGTAATTTGTCTCTTTCCATTTGTTGTAAACATTTAAAAGCGTGATGTGATCCCCAGCAGGACTCCAGAATGCTTTTCTTGCTGAATCCGCGTGTATAATCATGGCTTTCGGTCTAAACACTGACTTAATATGGTAGGAAGATAAGCGATCAAGCGCCTCACCTATAGAACACAGCAGCATTGCAAGATAACATTGCACAGATAGTGATGATCTCTTCCGAACATCCGTACCTACAAAAATTATACTTTATTATTATCTTATTGTATTATTATATTTTCTTTATAAATTATTGTTACCTACTTTTCACTAGCAATGATCATTTTACTCATGCAAGGATCGCATGGGAATTCGGCCATTCGTCGTCCTAGCTTTGTTAGTTCCCCTCGATGATTTAGTGCCCCAAGAGCATACAGCTGTTCCAAAGCAATAACCAAAGTTTCCTGAACGAAGTTACCGTTTTCAGTACATGTTTGAACCCTGATTACTATAAAGTGTTTTTTTATCTGTTCAATACTTGACTTCTTTACCTATACAAACTTGGGCATTACGCCAATGTATGCGTCTTGTTTCAACCAAATCATTATGGAAAAAAAA